GGGTCACGGCCTAGGCCACGCCCGAGCGGAAGTGACGCTTAGGCGGCGGGCCAATCGCGGGCCGCTAGGCGGGGCCTCGGCCCTGGGCGGAGCCTTAGCCCCAGGGAACGGGGCGTGGCCTGGCCGTGCTCTAACCCGGGGGTCTGCTGGCAGCTGGGGCTCTGCCCCTGACCCCTGTCAGGCTGACCATTCTCCACCTGCCCAGGTTTGAGGGAAATGCTGGTGCACTGCTTATAGGCTTATCGAGGTCTCCAGTCAGAAATATGTTGGTCTATGTATTCACCTCGTTCTTTTATTTTTAACATTAACCTTTCGTCCATATGGACTTGGCTTTGGTGAATGACATGAGGCAGGGATCTAATTTCCTTTTTCAGATAGTTGCCTTCTTATTACATAATTCGTTTTCCATGACTTGAAATGTCATGTTTATTGCGGCCGAAATCTTACCCAAACTTGTGCTTTTTTCTTGGGCTCTGTGTTTCGTTCTATGGGTCTATATCTCTATTCCTGCATTGTCAATTATTTTATTCTTTGAAATAAATATTAACAGCACTTCTGTTTTGTAATTGCATAACATTTACAATTATGTTGTTAAATTTAAAAACAATGCCGTTGGACCTCTGATTGAAATTGCATTAAATCTGCACACTAATTCAGAGATGACTAACATCTGTTGAACAAAATTAACCTTGACAGTTGGCACCAATCTTTGAACAAAATGATTTCAAAATAACTTTCTATACTAATAAAATGTATTTTCATTTCATTCTAAATTTGGAGATTTTATTTAAAAAATCACATCCCCCTCAATATTGCCAGAAATACTGTGTTGACTTGCCCTGTAAATGCAAATGTTAAAGAAAAACAGACAAAATGTTCAGACCCAAATTCATACCCATTTCAAAGAAGCATCTTAGGATGGTGACTACATTCAAGCTACATTTCAATGTTAGCTTCATGTCTTAACAGTTGCATTCATGATGGGATAGGAAACTAGACGTTCCTTCCTAAATCTTTTCTTCTTCCAATTTTTATTGAGATATAATTGCCATAGTCTATAAATTTGTTATATAGCATAATTACTTGACAATGTGTATATTGTGAAATAACTACAATAAATTTAATTAACATTCATCACCTCACAGTTATATTTTTTCTTCCCTGTGATCAGAATTTTTAATGTCTATTTTCTTAGCATCTTGCCAATATACAGTACACTATTACTAATTATAGTCACCATGCTGTACATTACATTCCAGTACTTGCTTAATTTATAACTGTTGACCAACTTCATCTAATTTCCCTGACCCCCAAACCCCTGGCCCTGGCAACTACAAATATGATTTCTTTTTGTAGGAGTTTGGTTTTCAGATTCCTATATGTGAGGTCAACAGTATTTGTCCTTCTCTGTATGACTCAGTTCACTTAACATAATGCCCCCAAGGTCCAGCCATGTTGTTGAAAATGGCAGAACATACATAAATAACCTTTTCTTTATCTAGGCACACTTCGATGGACACAGGTTGTACCATGTCTTGGTTATTGTGAATAATGCTGCACTAACCAGGGAGGTGCAGAAATCTTCTTTTCTTAAATATTTTTACTGATTTTAGAAAAAGAGGAAGGGAGAGGGTAAGAGAGAAACATCCATGCGAGAAAAACATCAACCAGCTGCATCCTGCATGTCCCATACTGGGAATCACACCTTACAACCCAGGCATGGGCCCTGACCTGGAATCGAACTGTGACCTTTTGGTACATAGGTTAATGCTTAACCACTGAGCAACAAGGGCCAAGTGTAGAATCTTTTTATTCAAATACTTTTTAAAATAAAAATCCACTATATGAGATAAATGATCATTAATATAAATTTAAGAAACATTTGATAAAACAATGAAGGTATTTGCAGACAATGAAAATCTAAAGCTGCATTTTTCTTTTTTTATTCCTCACCTGAGGATATTTTTCCATTGATTATTAGAGAGAGTGGAAGAGAGAGGGAAAGACAGAGAGAAACATCAATGTGAGAGAAACACATCCAGCACCCTGACCAGGGACAGGGTGAGGGAGGAACCTACAACCAAGGTACTTACCCATGACTGGAATTGAACCTGGGACCCTTCATTCTGCAGGCCGACGCTCTATCCACTGAACAAAACCGGCTAGAGCTAAAACTTAATTTCTAATTATAGCTATTTTATATTAATGCCAGCATTCATTAAATTAACTGTGAGCACTTCTGACACCTTGAAGCTCACAACAGTCTGAAAACTGGTTGGTTTTAGCCTCAAGGAATCCTAAGAAATCAAGTAGAGGGGACTTGGAGACCCTGACTGCCCTTCTAGTAGGAATGTTTGTCTTCACCTTTGTCACTGAGATTAAAGACACCACTTTGTTTTTACCAAGAAATTGCCTTTCCCACTGGCCTTTGTAGAATCTGCTAAACAACTCTGGTTTGTAACTTAGAGTAACTAGCTCCCCACATTATATACGTGGTAGGATATATATCTTATTACCTCATGGCCATTTTTCATCAAGTGATTTAAATATGTTTAATAATCTTAAAAATGAGTACTTATGGTATTTTTCTACTTTAGTACTTATATTTAGGCTGTAGAAAGGTAATTGTATTCCAAACCTTCATAAGTACAAGTTCACATCAAGGCATATGGTACCAGGTTTGTTTGTTTTTAATGATTTGTCTTTATTTATTTAGTCCTCACCGGGGATATTTTCCCATTGATTTTTAGAGAGAGTGGAACAGAGAGGGAAAGGCAGAAATATCATTGTGAGAGAAACACATTGATTGGTTGCCTCCTGTACCAGCCTTGACCAGGGCCCAGCCAGGGAGGAGCATGCAACTGAGGTACATGCCCTTGACTGGAATCGAACCCGGAACCCTTCAGTCCACAGGCCGACACTCTATTCACTGAGCCAAACCGGCTAGGGCTGGTACCAAGTTGTAACAGCAACATTTGCTTCTCTATGCCTAGTACCTTGCTTCCAGAGTTACCCTTAGGAATAAAGAAGTATCTCTATACATGTTAGAGTCTCATAAATTAGTTTCTAAAGTGATGGCAGCCTTTTTTCTTTCTTTCTGTTTTTTTTTTTTTTGAGGGGAGATTATGGACATTAAACAGTGCAGAGAATATAATGGAAATCTTAACTTTCCCTAAAAGAAAGGAGGTAAAGCTAAGTGTTACCCCACATCCTTTCTGGAGCATGTACACAAGATGAGGAGTCTTTAAAAAATCCAAGTACCTAAAACAGGAGAAACATTTGCTCATAAACTTGAAGGTGCTTATTCATATTTCAAGAACACACGCACATCCATGGTGGTCTCCACCCTGGTTACTCACAGTGGTCCAGGCCCAGCAGCAGCAGCACTTGGAGCTCAGCGGACATGGAACCTCAGATCAG